AGGGAGCCCGATGTGGGACTCGATCCCAGGACTCTGGGATCATGACCTGAGCCGAAGGCAGACGCTTAACGACTGAGCCACCCAGGCGCCCCACAAGCCTTAAATCTTAAAAAAAAGTCAGATGCTTATCTTTGGAAAGACATTTACATGAAGAATTTAAAGACCTGAATTTAGGTCCTGGTTCAACTTACTAAACATAACACCTTAAATAAATCACTTAACTTCTCTAGGCTTCCATCTTCTCAGGAGTTTAAAAACAATGTGTAAGTCCAATCATTATACTCATTAGAATCAAATGAAAACACATAAGATAAAGTAATAACAACAGCTAACATTTGTTAGTGCTCAGTGATGCCTAGCAATATGAAATCCTTTAAATAGTTTATCTCATTTATATTTAGTCTTCACAATAACTCAAAAAAGTAGACGTTAACTACTATTACTATTATACAGATGAGGATTTCATGGCTTAGAAAAAGTTAAGTAGCTAATCTAAGATCACAACTAAACAAGAGACAACTGAAATCAAAATGAAAAACCGTGTTCAAAGTCATGATTTTAACCACTTCTCCATTTTAGTTCTCAATCTATACTAAAAGGCTTTATAGATACTAAAACACTTTATACATGCAAGGTGATTATCATTATTACTTATTATTATTACTCATAATGCACTAATAGTAACAACAGCATCAACCTTGTAATACCCTTTTTTTTGTCTCCAACATACAGAAGTATGCCTTCAAGAGAGGTGATGGTGGTGGAGACAAAGAGGGATGATACTGTAATAACTATATGGTGACAGATGATAACTACACTTATCATGGTGAGCATTTCATAAAGTATATAAATATCGAATCACCATGTTGTATACCTGAAACCAATATTGCATGTCAACTACAATTTTTGCTTATAAAAGTGTTCCCAAAATTTATTTTGCCAAGTAAAGTCATTTTTTAGGTGCTACTATCAAATGAGACATTTTAATACTCAAAAGCACCAAAAGAATACAATCTTAGAATAAAGTCCCTTACATTGAATGAATTTTTATGAAAATAGTTTTTAAAAAAAGAAGAGTTTTCCACATATTTATAATAAAAGTCTCCTCTAATTAATGCCTCTAGACTAGTACCCATTCAATGTAATGCATTCAATGTAAAATATTTTCTTTCAAGGGCAAATGTT